CCCCCACCGCCCACCCTCCTGACCCCCTCACCCATGCGGGTCCCCCCCGCTGGGACCCCCGGCTACTCGGTGACGAGAAGAGCTGGAAACGAGAGCCAGCTGGAGCATGCTGAGGACCAAGGCTGGTGTGGTCCCCTTATAACCTGCCTGGACCCTCCATTCAGGTCGGTAATTGGGGGCGGGGGTCCCGCGGGGCCACTCCGTCCTGTGGGCTCTGCACCCACGTTACTTTCTAACCCGCACCTCAAGCTTGCAGCCAGGGGTGGAAAGATGTCGTGGGTGGGTGTCCGCACCAAACTGGGCAGAACACAGTGTCAGCCACCCCGCCCTTGCTGGCTGGGAGGTTGCCCAGAGGCCTACTGAGGCCCCGCCCCCCAGGGGGTCCTGAGCCACCTAGTGCCAGTGGGCATGATCCTCCCCAAACTCGTGGCAAACCAGCCCTCTTCCTCCACAGCACACCCTTAGAAGCAGATGAGGTAGATGAGAAAGCACGTAGGCAAAGGTTCTCAGCCGTCAGCCTTCATAACATCTTGGCAGATCCATTTAACTGATGGCTGCTGGCCATGTTCGGGATCGTGAGCACTGACATGACTACTGCTGACCAGTGCCCTTCCGCATGGACTGACTTATCACAAACGACTCGTACAGCAGGTCTTTTACATATTGCAGATAGCATGCTTTGTCCGTGCTTTTGAAAAAAGTCAGAGGTACCTTCCAAGGCTCCCCACGGGGAGATATTTTAAGAGGAGTTCAGATGTGTATGGGGTCTTTGGGGCAAGATATTGAGCCTTACACGGGGATAAATTTGGCTCATATTTAACCTTTAAATCATAAAGCTGGCTCTTCCTCCCTTTGACGTTCTCATAATCCCTTTCAATATGGGCGTCTTCCTAATGGCTTCTGGATGTTTCTTATGATGGCTGCTGGGTAGTATTCAACTGGTGGCCTCTGGTTACTATTCACTCGATTGGAATATATAGGCGATGAGGTACTTTTGCCCTCTTTGCTGCCCCCGGAAGGTAAAGACATGAGTTGAAAGAGCCAGGTGCCAAGAAGAGACACCTACCTGGCTGCAAGTCTTACCACTTAGCCATGGTGAGACAAGACCCGCTTTACCTGAGAGGCAGGGTCCAGGCATACCTGGCTTGGAGCTCTGGTCCCACCAGTTCCTTTGCGCCCTCCAGCTAGCCCTGTCACTTCTCTGAGCCTCCAGTCCCTCGTCTCATCTGCCACACAAAGTTGGAAGGGATAAAACGAGATGGGCATTCGATAGAAATTCTGTTTCCTTTTTAACTAATCCATCCCAAACCCTGTTGAGGTGGAGAATCTAGTTGACTGCCCTGCCCCACCCCCCACCCTGGAAGGCCGGAAGGGATCTTCACAGGCCCCTCGCCCAGGTCGAGTACCTTCTGTGTGCCGGGGTATGCCTCAGTCAACTTCATGACCTTCTCAGCGTGTCCCCAATTGCCCCCATTTCATGGGTGGAGAAACCAAGGCTCTGGGAGGATGAGGGGCCTTCCCAAGACCACAGGGCTTTTTCACCCACGTCACCTTCTCCCACCTGTGCCTGGAGAGGTTTTCTGGGAGGTTCTGAGGTCGTGAGGGATTGCCTTGCTGTGTGGTCAGCGAGTCTGTGATCAGGGCTGTTCGTTGAGCCCTGACCAGGGCCAGGGTGTCCCCGAGAAGTGGGGCTGGGTTGGTTTGCCCCGAAGGTTCTTTCTCTGCAAGGATCTCACCTCCGTGGCCACCTCGAACCCTCAGCCGGGGCTCCTGGGTGCTGG